TCCAATGCAGAATAAACATTTTTTCTTGAACATCTTTACATAGTTCGATAGAGCTCGTCGAGCTCTACAAACCTGTGAGCGTTGAAAAGTTGTTAAGTCACTTTTCCGAAACCAAAGATTCAAAAAATACTTACAAAAACCTCGAAAAACGTTAAAAAAGCTCATTTTTTAAACGAATGAGAAACATTCGATTTTTCAACGCAACTACTTTTTTTCGTTATTTGTACAAACACAGACGCTTCTAAATGTGCTGACTAGATGGAGTTTTTTCCGCTGCATCTGCTAAGTGTATTTGGAAGCGTTGTGTTTGTACAAATAACGTAAAAAGGTAGTTGCATTGAAAAATCGAATGTAAAAACATTTTTCCCAAAAACATTTTTATGCACCCTGTACAACCCGACCCGTACTCGTATCCGATCCGAAGGTTGAGTATAAGTATGATGCTGTCGGGTATGGATCGGATACGGCTCTGAAAATCGCTCCCGTGCACATCTCTATTGAACATGATTATTCACTAAAAAGTCTAATATTTATTTATTATGTTCAAGAATTTCTACAGCAGAATGTGAAAACTTAATTGATTTTAAACATCATTATTAAATGATATTGTTTCCTCCACATTACTATGCTTTTTCATTGACACAACATGTCGAAGTTTTCGTTGTAAAGTATTTTGTTTTGAACCTGGTCGTTGCTGAAAAAACTGAATCGTTCTTGCAGTTTCTGCAAACAAAACAACAGATTATAATTGGGTAAAAATGATGTGAAAAAGTTAAAGTTCATATTACCCGAGAGGTGTGATTCTATTTGAGAATCTGTTTTACAATTCTGACATTTGATAATTGTACATTTAATTCCGTGTATTTCGCTCGTTATATGTTCCATCGTTGCGTCATAATCCTTTTGATCATAAGCGGAAATTCGTCCTTTCCAAACAATCCGTGCTTAAAGATTATCAAAATAGAATAAAAAAACAAAATATTTTCATTTAAAAATTTCGCTCAACTAACCGTTATAATCGAGAAATATGCACGTTGGAACACCATCAAGAGAAAATATTTCATGTACGGGTTTGGTATTCTCATTTTCTTCGTCTAAAAAAAGTAATTAAAACAAAATAATAAAAAAAGTAACACAAATAAACATGAGACATACATTTGAAATCATCCGATGAGAAGTCGGTATAACAATGCACTGTTTGCTGAAACTCCTTTGTGAATTTTTTTAAAATGTCAATATCGGACTTATCACAATTAATTGTAATAAAATCACACTACAAATGAAGAAGTGACTATACTTTATATCAATTAGAACATTTACATATGCTACTACTTGATCTCGATGGGATGATGCGTAATTTACAAAATATCTTAAATACTTTGTAGATGACAAACACCTGAAACATAAGGCACACGTTGATACATTACTCATTTTTCGGACTAAATTCAATAAAACTTCAACACGTTGGTATACACGTATTATGAAATTGACATTGATATAGTTCAAAAGGACACTTAAATTAACTTTTTCACAAATATTTTTAATAGTCATCCTTACAGCATTATACAAAATACTTTTTATAATATCACAACACTTGCCATTGTACGTAAAAAACTAGCACGCTTAAACGACACATGTTTTCGTCTGGTATTTTGACAATTTTATTTTGGAATAAATCGTATAAACAAATACTTTTTTTGTTCAATATTTGATAATGTTTTAATAAACCTTCATGTAAAGGACGAGTACACGTTTTTTCCATTTGAAATGTTTCAAAATACGAACAACTTAAACAAAACGAACCGTGTCATGTAATTTAAACAATATTTAACAACATACGTTTTTGAATGATAATATTGTTCTTCGAAATGCATACAAAAGAACGTAAATTGTTCAGATTGATCAACAAAAATCTTTTTTGAAGTAACCATAGGAGAATGTGGTGAATCAGAGACATTAGCTACAGCAAGCTCATAGGACATATTTCCTACTGGAAGCTAAACATAAATAAAAGTTGTAAAAAAAAACACAATTATATCGAAAACTTCATTGTCACCTCCAGAGGTACTTCTTTTACAAACCACGGTATAATTGTACTACATAGTTTACCATTTATCATTAATTGACGGTTGCAAGGAGTCGTATTTTCATCTGTTTGAATGATTAAGTTTAATTGCACTCGATCTAAAACAATTAGTAATTAATTGAATTAACCATCACAAATTTTTTTAGAAGAAAGAACGACTTTACTCACTTGTCAACTGTGAAAGCATTACTAATATTCTGTAAATCAAGGTTTCACAATCATTTAACAATTGTTGGGAATTACTATTACCGAATACGCTTTCTTCATCAATTCGTCGTAACAGTCTAAATTTGATTATCGATTTAACTTAAAAATTTCATACTCAATCGATGTTCACATACTTATCTCGAATTGGTAAAAGACAACAAACAGCTTTTTCTAATTCTTGTCTGTTTTCAGAATCGATATACTCATAAGATAAATTTGGTGCATCTCCTATCTCTGCACAATTTACCTTCAAAGGTTTAGAATATAATGATCGATCTGAATTTTTAAGATTAATTTCAAGAACAACAATATATTGATTTGCTTCTAAATCTTTAATTAGTATTTCTCGACATTCTGGTGAATACGGTCCAAATACAACGCTTGAATTTTGTTTGGAATTGTAACAATGAAGCTAGATGAAGTAAATGAAAATAGAAATAAGTAAAATTGTTATTTCAAATATTTACAAACTACAAACCTTATAATTTTCAATTTCACCATCACCTATTGATAATGAATTTTTCCAATATATGAGCACATTTTGTTTATTTTTAAAAATATAGTACAAACGAGGAACGGTTGTTCCGGGCCAATTAACTACGTAAGGTGGTGAACAACACGATACACCGTTTTTACGACTAAACTGGAAATATTAATACAAATGTACTATGTCTACAGATAATGTAATTATTAAGAAATATATGGATAGTTTCATATTGATGGATTAGCTTATAAAGTTACCTCGATTTGAAATGTATATTGTTTTCCTGGTATACCATTGTTCACAATAAATTTTGTCTCATATGGTCCTAGAACAACTTTGGGTACACCATCAATAAGCAAATTATAGGATTTTATTTCTGATATAGGTATGTCCCTTGGTTTCTTCCACTCCAACCAAATAAAATCAGGTGTTGATCTCCTGCAACGGATTTTTTAAGTATAAGAAAAAAATCATATAAAAGAGCACTGTCTTACGTAACACGTAGACTTGGCAAATCAGCTGCTCCCACTTGGATACAAGCACACTCTGTTGTAGAAAGAATAAAACCTCTTCGATCAACGGCGCATACATGAATTTCATACATGCATCCGGGCTCGATTTTGTGTAATATAAAATTTCTCATGTTCTTGGGCATTCGAATAACTTTACTCTTGAATTAAAGAACAATATAAGTCTCTTCAATTACCTTCCTGACAAATGACTACTCACTTTGTTTTCATTAAGCATTTTGTAGTGAATGAGAAAATGACGAGTGGAAGGAAACACTTCCAACGTACTCCAATCAACCGAAATACGTCCATGTGTTAATATTTCTAAACTAACTTGTGCTTTTATCGGCTTTGATTGAACAGTGGTAGTTGCTCCTAATAGTACTATATCATCGTTGATATTCTCACTCCAATTTGTTGATGACATGTTGTTTTTTCCTCGATAATTTTTATAAACTGCGATAAAATGAAAATAAAGTGAATTCTCTTATTCTTTACAACCGTTTAAAAAAATTTACACTTGAAGACAGAAAGAAAAATTTAACTAAAAAATAAATTTTGTGATTGTAATAGACGAATACAGCGTGTTATACATCATTCACACGTACGCCAGAATTAAAATGAAATATGATTTTTCAAAGAACTGGCAACAGAACGAAAACTTAAGAAGCTGATTTGCTGCTTGTGAAAGATGGACGCAGTTTTGAATATTAGGGCTTTTATATTATAGTATCTTTTCACAGAAACGCTTGCTGATATTTAAGAATAAAGAATTTAAGAATAATACGAATCATTTGTATAAGTTTTTGACACAATGTACATATACTATTGAGTTTCTGTCAGTTTACTGACAGTTACGATTATTAGCAAAAATATTGAAATGAAGACATATTCATGAAGACAGTCGCAACACTGATAGTGTTCAATAAATCCTAAGTGTTGAATGTACCCACATATTAAGTTAAAAAGACGTGTTAAATAATACAAATGCGCATGATTAGTCTTTTATTCAACTATAATGATAGTGATGTGTCGAAGAAAGAATTCTTCTTATGACATTTGTAATTTTCTTAGATTTTGGAAAAGCTAATGGATTTTCCTTTTGATGGTAGATTGACCTCATTTAAAAATGAAATCTTTTTCTATTAAAAGGGCCCAATAATGTTTTTGTTGATTGATGTTCCGCAGGTTTAGTGTGATATAAACGTCTTATCCATTTAGTAAAGGGGTAGAATCAGCTATTAAAGTACAATCTAAATCTTGGCAAAAGGAAGTACCTAAAATGTTTGAAGTAAAAGATGTTTTTAATGTTCCTTTTTACTAATAGTCCGTTGACAAGATTGATAATTTCTAAAAACTTTTTTTCGTTTTTATTCGAAGTATTCCGATCATATAAAAATGATAGCACATTGCTTCACCGCTATTGATATTAAAAGTATATCATACTAATCATCCCGGATGCATTGAGGATATAATTTGGCTCTGTCTTTAAAACACCAATCTACAGACAAATTATCGGGAAAAATGGAAAGAAATATTTTCCGGTGAACTAGAAAAGCTATTGGTTGGTTGCCAACTACAGAGGTCTGAAAAGCGAAGAAAGAATGACATCTTTTTTTTCGAAAATGTTTCAAGTTAATAATCTGTTTATTCTGAAGAAACAACAACAGGAACATAAGCAAGAAAAGGTCCAAAAAGTACAAAATCTGGCAACCTTGCATCGCTGATATAACAACCTGTATGACTAGTGGGTACATATGCTTCAGGATAAAAATAATCTACCTCTAGGCTTCTGTTTTTTTTCAAAAAAGCACAATCCGCCGGAAATATTTTTGTTCCAACACCTTTTCCTATATCGCAGTTTCTGCCATGAGACCCACTAATGTTAACCTGCATATATTTTACTACAATTGAAGTTCGTAAGAATCGGCTCATAGGTTATAAGTACTAATGCGTTCTTCAACATAGGCAGTGTTATCTAGAATGTCTCTCCCATGTGCGTCAGATGGATGTATAAAATATAAAGAAAATATAAATAGAGAAATGTAAAAGGGATGGAAATCTATCTTAGATTACCAACAGCATCTCACAGAGAGCAAAGTAAAACTTGTCACAGGTGCAGACGCAACTGACAGTGATTGCAAAATGTGTTTGTTTGTGAGGGTGACCGGTAAAACATAAAATAATTAGTTTACAACTGTACTTTCTCATTACACTTGAAGTTTTTCGATGTTGTTGACTCGCCTGATTAGACTGATAGCGTCATATTACATTAAGGTCACCAGGGGAGTTTATCTTGAATTTAGATGTTGAATTTTCTAGTCAATACAGTCATTATCATGTCACTTTAATGTCTGGCTGGGTGTATTATTTCCAGGTATATTATTGACAGGTACAGTATTTCCACTAGGAGTTAAATGTTTGCGTCCACATTCGTGCTATAATAAATACATAAAAAACTGATTTCATTGCATCTTCTATTTTCATACTTTTCACATTGCCTTTAACCCTTTACCCCGCCAGCTGATCTTACAAAGCGAACTTGAAACTGTCATAACTCTATTTAGACTCGAAGAAAAAAAATGTTGACTAGCTTATAATGTCAGGTTATTTTAGAAAAAAACTCCGCGTTTTGATTCGACACATCATGATCTTCTTATAACGATTCTAGATTCTACCACTAATGTCCACGCCTGCGGACATCCGGAGGTAAAGGGTTAAATAAATCAGAGGGCCAATTGATACGAAGAAAGAACATACCAAATGACGTTCACTTATGATCACATGTTTTGTTACCATAATCATTTATTATTAGAAATATTCATGATAGTTTATTTTGTGATTTAAAATTCAAAAATATATGTGTTGATTTAATCCCATCAAAACAAATTAATAATTCTATAGCATGTATGTAGTATTTTGCACTGAAAACAGAAAACAAATAAACATGTAGCAGTGTTGTTAATAAACCCTAAATCGAATGGGTGATCGTCGGCTAACATCGAGCATTGTTTCTCTACGAGACGATAAAAAATCAAGTGTAAAAGACGGTAGTACACTGTTTGTGAACAAACAAGTTCAACTTCAGAATGATATTGACGATTTTATTCGAAATTTGATCTTATCTATTTCAAAATATGATCCAAAATTGGAATTTTCATGTTCACCAATCGCTACTCGTGATCAAGTGACAAAACAAATTCGTCGCCAAACATACGGTCTCATTTGGACATCTATTCGTAAACCTGGTATTTGTCAACTTATTCCCGATGGAACGGCAACTGCTTGTATTCAAGTACTTCATTCACCACCGACATGGTCTCGTTACGATACAGATATTCTGTTGATTCCCCTCAAACGAAAAACATTTCTTAACGGTTTAATGTTACGGGATGAGTTTCTACGTTCTCTAACTGTCATATTAAAACGTGACTATATGGAAAATGATGATAATAAATCTATTTATGAATATAAAGGTGTTGAATTCACGCGAAATAGTATACAAATTGTGTTTTCTGGTAGAGCAAATAGTGATCAAGCAAATTTAACATTAGTCGTTTCTCTCTTAATCTTACTCGAATTCGATGAAAAAACAACATTTTTCGATGAAGCATATAAAGCACTTGCCTATCATGAACCATTTCGAGATTATCTAGCGACAAGTACAGATGTAAATTGTACACGATTAACTGCCCTTAATCCACTAAAATTCATCTACGATTATAATGTTTTTGAAACACGTTTATGTGAATATCTAGTTAGACCCGGTGAAAACATTCCCTTTCTTGTTTCATCATAATTTAACTTCTTTTCCGTTTTCAGGATCTACAACTTCTGATGAGCTGGCAGTTAATGGTAATCTTGGATTTATCTTAACAGCATTTATGCAATTACGAAAACAATGGAGTCGATATTTGCCTCGTGCAACGAAGTATGCAACAGAATCAACAAAAACGAATGATAAGCGTCGTCAATCCGCGTGTTCTGTTGCATCCCTTCGATCAAATACTTCTGTAACATCAAATCTTTATCGTAAGTATTTAGTACTTCTCTATGAGAATAATACTCTAATGTTCATAGAGTTGTTTTTTAGGACATATGACTGCTAAAAGATCATTAACATCAGAAATTGAATTATCATTTGAAATTATATTTTCAATTCAAATGTTACGCGTATTATTCTTCAAGATATGTTGTACGTATCATCATTTTCCAAGTGATCGTGATGCAGCTGTTTCGTTTGCAATTGAAAAAGGTCTTCATGTAATCTCCGAAAGTTTGGAAAGCGGTTATCTAGAACATCCGTTTTATAAAGGAGTGAATATTATCCCCGATGCGTGGATAACATATGATATTGTGGTAAAAGTAGGCATTATGAAATTGATTAAAGAAATGCAACGAGAATGGAAACGAGGACGATTAATCAAATAACATTCGATCAATCTAACAAAGAGAATTTATTGTAATATAGAAAGTGTGTATGCGAACTATAGTAGATACCGGGCAGTCTATTGTGTTTTTTTTTGCAATTATGTCACACCAGCATCCTTTTTGAGTTCGTGTCTATTTAACCGACTGAAAAATTCACAAAAGCCACTGTCCTTGAATAGTATGATTTGTATAAACAATTATTAAAAAAACACACTTCCATTGCGACAATAAGCAAACATTTTTTTTTCCTAATGATAATTTAATGGATATAGCATCTGTTTTCGATCAAGTTGAAGGTCAATAAAATAGTCATTTCTTGCAGAATTAAATAAAATATAGATATTAATTAACTTTCCATTTGTATTAAATTAATAAAGAGTTTAAACAACTTTCCTCTATCGAATAGTCATATTGATCGGAAATGTCAACTATTTTGTCCTTCAACTCACTTTTTTTTCTAACCACATATTTGCATTAATCATTTCTATTTGTTGAATGATTATTTTTCACACCTATTTTAACCGTGAACATACCTATATACATTCATAGAACTTTTAACATTTATATAATGACGTTAATGTTCAAACATTGTAATGATGACAAGTCTCTTGTTCTTTGTTAGTTACTAATTTTTTTACTAACTTTATTAGTTATATTCAGAGAATAAAAACCTTGTATTTGTCTATTACGTCAAATTTTGATGAATAACTCAAACTTGGATCTAACAATAGAATCGATGATGATAATAGGACACTTTAAACTCTTACGTGATAGCGATAAACTTGCTATCAAATAAATGTACATATCTAACAATAATAACAGTCTAAATCATTTTTATAGTAAAAGGAATGGATTGAAACAAAAAATTTAATATGAAGAATTATCATATAAGAAAGTCTTATTATTGTCAACAGATGAAAATGTCACATTTTCAGAGAACGAAAAGATAATGTATTAGAAAATTTGAATCCGTATGACTGTAATATGTCAGAAATTAGATATTAATGGAAAAATAGATAAATGGGGGATTATTTTACAGCTGAGTATATGTTAGTTTTAAATGTAAAAATAGTTGATCGCATTTTATGATGTTGTTTTTATATACACGTTGCATCAAAATATAATTCAACATGTTTCAAGAAAAATATTTTATTTTTCTAAAACTACATATCATTTTGGATAGAAAACATTTTTAATTATCAGATTGTTTCATTTCAATAACATAAGGTGCACTTAAAAATAAATTGAATTTTGAAAACAAAATGGGACGAAAAACTATGGAGTTCCACTTAATCAACAAGAGTACCTGTATTCCGCAATGTGTGTAAATATTAGACTATACTTGAAGTAAAAAACCGGTTGTTAGAGATAATAAAAACATTTGTCGTTAAAAACATTGAAACGCATGTATAATTTTTTTTTTTCCTCTTTTCCTTTTCGCATTTATATTTTTTACAAAAAATAAGTTTTTTCTTTTGCCGTTGTCGTCTTATGCACCTTTATATACACGTATACACAACAACGATGATGATGCCAGTAAAGGAGACAAATAAAAATAAAAATAAAAATAATAATAATAAAGAGCAAAAAATAAATCTCATTTTGGAAAAACAAATGAAAAAATCTTAATCAGATACGAAAAGCAGAGCAATCACGTGAATTACAAGGTAAAAAAATAAAATTATGTTAATATAGATGAGAAAAAGTTGAACAAAAACGCTTTGTCATTAATTGGATGTGTGCTTCAAACAATAGTAGATAATATTTTAATAAATTTAGAGAAATTCTAGGATAATTCTCTTCATTCTATCCACAATTTTGATCTGATGAAACCAATCAGATAATCTTAAAGTAGAATAAAGAAATACATGAGGCTAGATAGCAATCTTTCACTAACTTTTTGTTTATTGAAAAGAATTTACCCTAACTTTAGTGTGGAAAACAGGAGATACCTTCATCTAATGTTAGATCAAAAAGCAGAAAGCATGATAAAACTCAGATATACATTGACCCAACATATCAACGTGAAGAAAAAAATAAAGTTCATTTAGAGTTGCAGAAAAGTGCTTTTGTATTCTATACACTCGATAATCCCGAAGATTTTTCTATTTTTGGCAACGGATACTGCCAAAAGTTTAAGAAAAATTTTGAAACTAATATTATTTTCCATAGAAATTCATTTTTTGTCATTGTGTTCGCAAAATTTTCTTAAGCTTTTGTCAAAAATAAAATATCTTTTAGATTATTGTGTGGGCTAAATACAAAAACACTTTTTCGCGACTCATCTCATAGAGTGCCATATTATTTCGTTAGTTTATAGCATCGAGTGATATTTTTTTGAATACGTTCGTTTGTTCGTACTCGGAAGATGCTAATCGCTTTCGAACTCCGTGTATACCAAGAAGCTATATAGAAGCACGACGGTACTTAACACGCACACGTTGATTGGCGTTCTATATCCTGTTTGGTAAAAGTGGGGAGAAGTATAACGTGTACTAGTGTGTTAAATGGCAATTTATTGACGAATTATTCTAAAAAATTTTTTTTTTTGGTGATATTCATTTTGATGGAACAGTCCGGAATCCATCTTTCGCATGCACACATTTGCTTATCCCAATTCTACTAGTCCTCGACCTACACTATAATACAAAATTCTTAGATTTCTTTTAATTTGCTTTGAAACGAAAAGTTAAGATGTCGAAAGTTAAGCATATTTTTTGTAGATATCCAAAATATTTGACGTCGCATAAAATATTGTCATCTTCATTTTGAAAAATTTGTTTTTTTTCTTTTCCGTTAAATATATTTTTTCCTTTATCTTTTTAATCTCTATATATTTTTGTTTTACAGTGAATGCATATTCTCATACATAAATAACTGACATTTTTATTTTTAATTTTACTATAGCTCTTCGTATTATTTACATAGGACAGAAAACAATTCAATAGAAAAAGAAGCAACATACTATCTGTAAACTTACCTTGACGGCAACTTCATCGTTACTATAGAAAAAAAGAGGTTCATCTAACATTCTGTTTATGAAAAAGAAGTCGTTTTCTCTTTCTGTTTCTGGAAACATTGCGTTTTTTAGTCAACTTTAAGAGAACGGTTAAATGTTTTGATTTTGAGGAACGTGAGATAAAAGTCTAACGCGTTGCACATGAGACAACAGAAACAGGTAAAACTCTTTGTTGAATTAATTTTTAAGTATTACTATCCGTTTTTCAAAAAAAGATTGATGCGTATAGTTTTTGTACCATTTTTGAATAAAAAGAGATGGAGATCTTTTCGACAATCGATAGCCAGAATCTGATACACATGCTTTCTGTTAAAGTGCTATGTTCAACAAATAATTAAAAGTTTTTACTAATTTAACAAACGTTAATCAGCTAAAAGTTGTATTCTATATAGAGAATCTCTAAGTGTGTAGTGCGATAAAGCCTTTTTAGGACAGATGCAAGTAAAATAACAATCATCAACTACGTTTTCAAAAGCTAATAGAGACAACAGGCTTGTTTCTACGTATTTTCATTATTTTTTGAACAATTTTAGCAAAAACTCTCTTCTTTCTTCAAAGACGAATTTTTTTTTATTTTTTTTTACGATTTTTTTTAAATTTGTTCTTTATTTCAATACAGGGAGAATAGAGTATCTGTTTAATTTGCTTTTCCCGTAGGAGTAATTCCTTTTTTTTCAAAAGATCGTTATAAACGAGAGAAATTTGCTCATGTCTGATGAGCAATAAAGATGTAAACAGTTTCTCAGATGATATAAATCTCTTTTTCATCGTTTTGTTCACTCTGAGTAATTTGATAGACATTCAAGTACACTTTATTGCTCTTAATTTGTCAAATAATTAGAATACTACATAGGTTTTATGAATTATTTTTTTCTCCATTGTCTATGTCAAACATCTATAAAAATTTGACATTTTAATTTTTCAAATATTTTTCAAGAAAAGAAAAAACAAGAAAAAAGAATATTGTCTTACATTGGTAATATTTGTATTAATAGTATAGTAGGAAAAAAATATATACTTGACTCATGTGTGAGACAAGTATCGATGTGTTAATTTTCTAATAATCAATATACTACTGTGAATACTTCTGAAGAAACACAATGTTTAATTTTTCAATAATAGTTTCTCAACAATAGCTAACGAGGAAATAATAGATTTTAACTTATTCAAAGTTTAAAATTGCGATTAAATCTTAAAATATTCGTTCAAATTATGAACATTCTGTTTAGTATGAATCTTTCTATTCTAAAAAGCACATGAATGATGAAATCACTTAATCGTTTTTCCAATTTTTGACATATGTCGAATAAGTACTGCTGCGTTCAAAAATCTATACAATTGAAAATTGACCTTGTCATTTTCTATTTGACCTATGTATATAATTTTATTTTATTTACTTTTTCTTTTTTTCAATTATGTTATACTACAATAACTCGTTTATTTACTTTTCTGAAGTAATTGAACACTTGATAATACAAGTAATTCATGCAGATAAGGATTAATACTGTAATGTATCAGAATGTGTTACATAGCTTAAAACGATATTTTAGATCAGTAGAGAAAAGATTGACAAACGTTCATTCTTAAATTCATCTATTTCTTAAATGTTCTCTTTTCTTCGAATAACTAAGATGTTTAAGTGAAAAAAATACTGAGAAATTTATTGAAACTGTAAATACTTTGTTAGATTGTTCAATAATATACTCTCAATTTCAGCATAGTTAATCATAAAAAAGCATTTTTAATGAAATAAAAGTATAAAACATGACGTTAGTCTTATTTTTCTTTCTTTATTATTTTACTTCTTGTTGGAAGGTCAACGTAGCGGTAAATGTGTAAAAACATCACAAAAAAGAAAATATTATTGTTTTTTTAGCAGCTGTGACTTCAACTATATTTCTAGTCTATTTATAAAATGTCAAAAAGGAAGAAGTATGTTTCAAAAATTAAAAACTAAATAGACCTACCGTATATTCTTTTTTTTTTTTCTTTTTTTTACTCGTAGGTGTGTACGGAGGAAGATTTACGTTCAACAAGAGATAGATTTTTCTTGTACACATCTCTTCTTTTCTATACATTCAAAATGATTAGCAAACAAAAGAGATGATACAATACGTTTATTACCGATTATTTTTTTTATGCATTATAACACTTATTTTATTTTATTTCATCTTTTTCTCTATTCAAACGCTATGGTACATAGGCTAGCGTATACCATCGCTCCATTTCTTCTTCATATGTATTATTTACGAAAAGAAATAAAGATGAAAAGAAACGAGAAAGAAGTAAAATGGGGACATAATTTTTTTATTCTACATAGCAATGATATAGCAGAGAGGGAGAAAATAGGTAAAATGACGCGCTAGTGTGCGTCGTGTATGGCGAATTCTACTATTCAAAATGTTGTTGTTGTTGCATGAAACAAACTTTTTATGTTTCAACCTAAATTATCATATGATTTAACAAGTTATATTTAAGAGTATTATTATTCTTCTTAACTTATTTAAATGTAATGGACGTAAGAGTAAGTGTTCACAAATTTCATTTTTACATTTTGATTAGGACATTACAAATATTTTTCAATAAAATCATGATCACTGCAAAATTCAAAGAATGTAATAAAGAGGTACCATTTTCTCATTTTTACTTTTAAGAATAGCGACAATTATTCTGAAACTGAAGAGATTGTCAGTCTCATCATTTATAGGTTTTTTACGTTGAAATGTAATTGACGCATACTTATATGTAATAATTTAAAGAACTCCAAGTATCAAAGTCAGCTGTTCGCATGAGCTTCTTCTTGTCCCTTTCTCTCATCTGACATAAGATATTCAAAATCGAACTGAAGTTTTAGTAAACTTACACAACTGCTAGAATTACTTCAGTGGAAAAGAAATCAAATGTTATGTTCTTGGATATTCAAACTGAATTTAATAAAAACATGTCCATGTGAAGATGTATTAGAAGTAGATACACTATCGGATAATCGTTAATTTATGTTGAGGACGGTGAATACCATAGTACGAAAATATCTTTAAAAATACTCGCTTGCACTCTAACATATCATTAGGACTTCGATGAAGGAACGCTTTATTTCTCGGATTTAGTGTTAAATCTAATCAAATATTTGACTCATGACGTCTTCCTTTTTATCATATCATAACGTATACTAAAACCCACGTTACATTACGTTTTGACTCTCTAGATGAAGAAAAAAAAGAGAAAAGCAAGGTAACCGTCACTAACGTACGACTATAGTTAATGATATTTCAACCGGAAAAATGCTTTTATAATGATAATACGCACATTATACTTATTGTTTTTCGACATAAAGTGAAAGCTGATACGGTAGTAAGCATGGCCACTGTGACGTGCAATAATGCTAACAAGTTGTCTGAAAACCATCGGATCTACCATGGCTGTAGACATGATCCCAAGACCGAAAGATGTTGACTTTATCTATTGCATATATTGATGCGATCAAGATCAGTGGCTTAAATAAATCTTGTTGTTACTCTTGTTCTTTTTGTTTACAGGTATCACTACCGCTAGGAATAACTAGCGGCGAAGGATGACCGAATCATTTTTGACAACAGATATCATTGTTATTGTTGTATTAATTGTAGTATTAGCTTGTATTGGTGCTTGTGCATTTCTCACACATTTTTATTGGACAAAAATTGGAGTTGCTGAAATATGGAATACAACAAAATGGAGTTCTATACGAAGTTCATTTTATCGTACAATAGGACGTTTAAGTCGTGCTAGTAGTAAATATAGTTCAGGACGGCCACTAAGCGGTTATTCGAATTATAATGATGAAAGTATACCAGGTTTACCACCACCATCGAATGAAATTCCATCAGCGGCTGTTGGCCCACAAAGAGTGACAAAAATGCCTGAAAAACAATCTCAGTCGGTCCCTCCACAACAAAGGTCACTTGCTCAAGTCACAGAGAAAAAACCCAATTCGTCACCAAATTCTAAACAACAATCTACTTCTGAAGTAACTAATACGAGACGTAATTCACGAGGTGTTAATCAAGTACAACCAGTATCGACAATTCCCCATAATAACTCGTCTTCTGGTAGTACGGTAACACATAAACAAAAACCTCCATCGCAATATGCAACAAAAATCGGTCAACCACCAGCAAATACTAAAATTCATAATATTCATGAGAGTAATAATGTATTGAATGGTGATGATGAACCTGAGATATTTACAGCACGTTTCTGATCAGTTACTTGTTCATATATGCAAAAATTTCTCTTTCAACTTCTTGTTTTCAAAGCTCATACTGATAATTTACTTTGCTCTTCGTTTATACATACTGGTGATATTTTTTCTTTATCTATTTGAAATCACCCTGGTGATATTTTTCTGTTCTGTTAAAAGGCATTCTATTAACTGTATTAAACTCACACGTGTAGATATCGTGTTGTCACTGTTTGTCCTTGTTGTTATTTATTTTTACATTTTTTTCTTGTTATATCTATATTTTTCTTACATAAATTATTCAACACGGTGTACAAAGCTTATTTTTGTTTTTGTTTTGCATGTACTCAACTTTTTTTTTAAAAACGTGAATTATGGATTTATTTTTATTTTTTGTTTTTGCAGTAAGTTTTATTTGTTATATATTTGTATTGTTCGGTGATCTATGTCGATTGTTACTGTTATAAGAAGAAAAAAAATTCAGATTAAATTTTAGAGTCTTTGATACTCTGTCGTAATGATCTACACATACTTAGAAATTAAATACTCTCTGATCATATCACCGAAACAAACAAACTAAAGTTGTTTTTGAGTTGTTGAAAAGTGCTTTTTCGTATTCAGCACACTCGATAACCCAGAAGATTTTCTATTTTTGGCGAGGATACTTTCAAAATTTTAAGAAAAATTTTCATGAGAAAATACTATTAGTTTGAAAGTTTTTCCTAAACTTTTGGAAGTACCCTCGCCAAAAATAGAAAATCTTCTGGGTTATCGAGTGTGCTGAATACGAAAAAGCACTTTTCAACAACTCAATAAACAACTTTAGTTTTTTTCCGGTGATATGATTTCAGTCTAAAGAAATATAAACCTTTATTTTAAAAATAGATGGTCAGCTTTTGGTTAATGAATTCTCTCTACATAGTTGTTGAGTATCTTCGTTAACCCAGTATTTCTATGTAGTATTTAAGAAACGTTGCTACATTTTATTAATACAATATCATAAAAGAAGAAAAATATATTCAAATTTATAGAAAAACACCAGTAAAACAAATGTATTCACGGTTATGACTTGATTAGAAGAGAACAAATAAGTATCACTGAGCATTTTCGCTATCCATTTTTTCATTAAAACTATCGTCTTTAGTTTCACAATCAGCTTTTAATGATTCCGTTTCATATCCAAGTCCACCACGATGATTACGATAAATCACTTGTACGGGATTTACGATGCCAGAAGATACCTTACCTAAACCAAACCCGGGTTGCCATCCAAATTTTTGGAGTAATTGATGACCAATATTATTTGAAGAAATTGGCGTTGCCGGCATAATACGAGCTTCATCTAAAAGATATAAACTATCGACTAAGTAAAAAGAAATATTCTTCTCATATAGTAGACAAACCAGTTTTATTTGCATTAGTTTCACCATACTTCCTTCTTTTATGATTATAACTGCTGTGATGTGATCGTTTGTAATCTCTTAACGGTCTCGCTTGTCTTCTCATATGAGTTGAGATATTCTGAAGAAATGCAAAATTTTTGTTATAGACAAGTTTTTATAAAAGTAATATTATATAAATACTTTTTTGATATCGTCTGGTATCGTACGTCGATTTCCCGTCAGAATTTCTCTGCTAGTAATGTATGATTTAAGACGATTTTGAAATGATGTTTTTGACGATTGCAACATGACTGTAAATGCTCCATTTACCAATTTTTCCAGATTTACATCTATTGTTGGTAACATTTCGTCCTCATCAAAGTCATTATTATTCTCTTCCCACCATTTTACAACATTGGGAACACTTTCATCGCGTGGAAAATCAGATTGTTCATCATCAGCTAAAAAAAAGCTAACAATGCTATTTTATACTTTAGAAATTTAGAAGATATTACCTTCATTGCTTGTTGGAGAAGGGTCAGTATCACTTAAATTCAAACTGCTACTGCTACTCATTTGAGTTCTAAAAAACAGAACAACAATATGTTATTTGCGAGCAATGAGAGAGACTAACGAGTGTGACAAAGATTCTGCATAAACATGTTAAGTACTAGTTCTCCATGTTTTAATTACTCTCGGGATTTTACTTTTTTTATTTGAAAAAGGTCTGAACTACGAAAAACGTACGTCAAACAAATTTATCTCCCACAAAAGTTCGTTGAGAAAAATTCAAAAGCTAAGCATCAATAAAAATAGTCCATGGGATAGTTTATTGATCGGATCTTCTTAAATATTTCCTGAAAGTCAATCTTTCTGAAAATCAAGATATTACGTGAGATACTTAGACGAAATTCGTAGTTCAGACCTTAGTTTTTCAAATATCAAAACAAAGTTTCTAAAATATTGAGAATGTGGAGAAATCATACTCAGTTTGTCTACGCAGAATTTTTACTTCATCCGTTAATTGAGTCATACCGATTATTATCATCCATTAGTGTTAGTTCACACTCGTTTATTGAAGTATTCAATGGCCGATGAAGATCCTCGTGAGAATTATGGACAAAACGAGATGATGCGCGAGCTGAACGTTTTCTTTTTCCAATTGTTGTTATTGAAAATGACGAGGATGATGAACGTGGTGTATTGACACTAACGTACATATCGTTATTATTCCCGCTTCCTTCACTAATACAATGCCGTCGACGTCGTCTTGGATAGGAAGTGCTATTGCCATTGTACCCACTTCCAGATGCTGTTGTAACGGTTGATGATGACATTTTTCCATGTCCACTAGTACGATTTTTCATCAATTGATCCGACGTAGTCATCGTTACATTGGCCGAAGTTGCTATCATTATTGGAGGACTCGGTTTTTTAAATGGTCGACGACGGCGACGTCTCGTTGATGTGTCGATTCTGGGCGTTGAATCGGATTCAGAAGCCAATAAAGTTGATCCAACTTCTACAAACATACAGTGAGTTAATTAAATAAAATTATCGATACTTCTCATGCAGTGACATGATCAAACGAGGAACGTTGGAATGAATATCTCTCCTATTGTTAGAGAAGAAAGTTCGTAATATCCTTAATACAATAAAAGGTTTGGTCATTCTCCATTAGAATAATCCTGGCAACGTTGCTGCTCTAATGCCGTTACTGTCAAGAAGGATGAAACAGAGGTTATTAACGATTGAAAACTGATAAGGATGAACGAAAATATGAGTAGTATTTTTGCTATCAATTAAATATTTTCAAAATTAAAATTGAAACAAAGTGTCAACTTTGTATTGAACTTACTTGATAGTACTTCAGAATCTTCTCCCTCACTACGACAAGTCATTCTCAATGTTAAGTTTTCTTGCGTTGTACTATCTGACGCATCGGAATGGCATGCAATATTCACAGTGCTTGAATTATTAGTTGGTGGTACACGCTTTTTTCGTCGTTTTGATTTGACTGGTGTCGTATTTGTTTTTGGACAAGTTTCATTTAATGCTGCATTTAAATCGAACGCTAATTGGTCCATTACTTTCTTTTGTATTGCTTTTAATTTATCAGACAAAGGTAATAAAGGATGGCTTTCGTCCATCCAATGGACAACTCAAATTTTAAATTAAAATTCAATAAATAATGAAAATTTTAACAATAATATAAATATATTGTACTTCTACAAGAAATTTTAAAACAAAAAAACTTAATGAGTTAGAGAATTTCTGTTACTTCTATTCAGATAAAATATGAAAGTTGGTCAAATTATTTATTCAATAAAAAAATCAATTTGGATTCATAATACAATGAAAACAAAACTAATACCAATAAACAAAAGTTTTTAGAAGTCTTGATTTTCATTGCCATTAATATCAAAACCTAAAGAAATAAAATGATTTTCTTTACAGTCAGTCATCTAGGATAAATTTGATATACCTAAACCATGTTCATTAAGTGTATGACTGTATTCCTCTACCGTAGGATATGAATTTAGGAAATCTTCATCATCTTTCATTTGTTTGAGAAAATCCATTACGTCTTGTGATAATGAAGATGGAATTATTGGTAGTATATCTAATTGAAAAAATGAAAGCAATGAAAAGTGCATAAATCAAATAATTAAACTTACACGTTGGTAAAATTGTGCCCGATTTTATCGATTTTAACCATTGTAAAATATCTAATGAATGGCTAGGATTTTCAAGAAGATAAACACTATGCTAAATTATAAAATATATCATTAGATACATCATACATAAGTAAAAATAAATAATTTACATTGATAAATGTAATGTGTATCAAAGCAGGATAAATATGATCACCATACTGATTGATAGTTAAAATCCATGGTGAATTACTAGAAGAAAAAAAATATAGACGATTTTATAATCATTTCAATAAATGGAGAAATTTGTATTAAAACCGCTGTTTAGTTATGGAGAAGGGGTTTTTAAAACAAATTCGAGTTTAAAATAACAAAATAATTTCAACAAATTTTCACTTTTGTAAAAATTATCAAACTGCTGCCATCTGTAGTTACTACAAGGGGTAAAAAACACATTCCAGAACGAGTACAAAATTTTAAATTTTTTTGAGTTTTACTCTAAATCTCGGTCTACATACGGCTAAGCTCGGCTTCTGAAAATGAAATGGCATTTCAGAATAGACATATTCCAGAATGGGTACATTTGCCTTGTAATGCCGTTCCCCCCTTGAGTTACTACCTTACAAACATTGATTCATACTCTACTCAAACAATAAATTTGACTTATAAGATATAGACTTGATGATAATAAATTACATTACAATTGTATATATAATATTTAAAAATAATAAAACAGTTCTTTTCTCTTTCTTACATATCTATCCACAAAAATGGTCTGATAGTTTGTTCATCAATATCATCATGTAAGAAAAATTCTTCAATCGCTTTTGAGAACGTTGATATACTTGTCAAATGACGTTTACTAGCTGCCACAAATGTTACTGTTGATGTAGATGAGAATTTTTTCATGAAAGTTGATGGTACAAATGGTACCTTTAATAAACAAAATAAAAAGTAAAAATAGAAAATAATGTTAAAAATATTAGGACGAACCAAATTTAAACGAAATGCATTTTTCAATGATATTTGATCATCAAAATAATACACACTTGTTTTATCAGGTGATAATAGATCAATATTTTGTGTAATAGTTAAGCACGGTAACTTTTTACATAATGTACTAAAAAGAATATAAATAAATTAGTTCATAATAGAGAATAAAGTGGATGAATGAAGTAAAAATCAATTGAAAAAATACCACCAAATGAATCAAACTTCACACTCAAGAAGACATAGTACCAGTTCATTAAACTCTCCTCATACAAACCTCGTCATATCCGAAATATTAGAAATGCATGTCATAAAGAAAATATTCTCATTTCTAAATTGTTCAGCTATTTTTTGATAACTAAACCATTCTAAAAAAAATTATTGAAAATTTTTGTACTAATAACAGTTAAAATTCTAGTTTCAAATGTAAAATCATAAGTCTTCTAAAGTAAAAGAAAGTTAGATATCAAAATACTGTAAATACACTGCTGAATGTATACATTTAATATGGTATCTATGATCGTAATAAGTTTATTGATATATCTATTGTTTTTATTATTGAGAAGAAAAAAAAGTTTTAAAATACACTTACCATCATTAGTTTCAGTTTCAAAATAACCAATAACGTACACATTTTGCACCGATAATAATTTGTCGATCGCATCTCGTCTACTGCTACTATTATTTAAACATATTTCATAGGGCTGATCAACAGCATGCCTAAAAAGTATCATAGTTATTATTTATTCGTTGATGTTATCTATACAATAATATAACCTTAATAAACTTGATGCCATTTCATTCTCATCTGTACTACCATGATACTTTCCATTGTATATTTGATATTTATCATACAGATGAATTTGTGGCCAAAAAAATATGTCGTTTTCTTCACATAAATCTGTTAAATCAAAGCAATCAATTTCAATGAATACTAATTGGGTCCATTTAAGTAACATTGATAAATAGTGAAATGTTTTTTTTGCAAGTTTTGATGTTGAATCCCATCGAACGGTATAGAGAATAACAAAACGATTGTTGATATTTTGTGTCAAGATATTTTGATATTGTTCTGTATTTTGGATGATTATAACATTATCCAAGAGAACATCATTCTCATCAATTTGACTATGTTTATCGTCAGAAAAACTATATTGATCTAAATGAAAACAGAGTGATAGATATCAATCTTATATACTTTAATTTCTTCATACTTATTCGTTTTTCTTCGTTATTATTAATTAATGTTTGGACAAGTTCAACTGACAATTGATCACCCAGACGTTGAAATTGATTCTAATGAGAAAAGGGAAATGAAAACTGTTGTTCTTTATTCATACGTGATCTATTTTATCTTACGATTTCTGGAGACCAAAATAAATAAAATGGATAAAAACCTTGAACAAGACGATTCTGTCTATCGTTCTCATTCAAATCGTTACTAAATAAAGGTATCAATGTAAATAATGATTAAACAAACATTGTATCTATCCTACATATCAACTGAAATAACTATTGTATCGGTATAATTCCAAATCACATTGAGACTGTCAACAAGTGGTGTGGAATCATGAACATAAAAAAATGTTTTTGTAATTCGTGGATAAATATTAACGTATGTTAAATGCATTAATGAACTGATAGAACTCATTGGATTCTTTGCCAATAAATATTCTAATGTCAATCGAATATTGTCGTATGTTGAACAAGTATAATCATTTGCTGTAATAGTCACATATACACGAATGGTACAAGAAATTCTACTGATATCTCTAAACAAATAGCAAAAATAACTGAATACAAGTTATGAATATTTGTACATGATAATGTTTAACTTACAGAGAACTATTTTGATAAATAAAATAAAACCATTCGCCATAATTGAGAATAATCTTACTCATATTGAGATGAACTATAAAAATAGAAATATTTACAAGATTGTCACATATATAATTTATTTTACTTGTTGGAGTGAAAAATGCCGTATTGATAACAACTTTATGAATATCTCGAAGCGAATCACTAAGTTCATTCGACGTTTCAACCAATGTAACATTGTACAAAATTTCTGAACTAAATAAAAAATTAAAAACAGTTCTTTTATGATATGGACAGAAATTCATTATTATTTTCTCCACGTACATGTAATCAAAAACAGCTGCTGACGATTCTTGTTGAATTTGAGCGTGTTTTGTGTAAAGACGTTGAGATGTTGTTTCACCATTTTCAGTTCTTAAAAAAAGAACAGACATAACATCAAAGAGACAAGACAATAGAGGTCGATCTAAGTCAACTAATCGAATTATTCTGCATCTTCACAAAAAAGTGAGATAATTCGATGACATAGTGATATTCCTGATGAATAATAAATAGTACAGGAACGGGAACATTTGTTTCACTCTTATCAAATGGGAACAGTAAAACTTTTTGACTTACTTTATGAGTTTAAATGAAACACCATAGATACACTTATTTGCTTCTTCGAAACCATCAATACGTAATTCATCACACAAATGCTAGAGATGAGTAAAATCATGTTTGATCTTTCAAACTGAAATAACAAACTGAAACTAATATTCACTTACATAGGTTAAAAAAAGCTTATGTTTAAGTAGGAAATTTTCAAATGGTTGTAATTCATTCAATATTGCATTGAGAAAATCATCTGTAAAATAAATCTGAAACACTATTATCTCTCGGAAGTGATTCACATTCATTCGTTACTTACGAACAGGAAAATAACATTTAAGAATCATACAATTTTGTTCACAATTATCAACACTGTTTTCTAATGTTAAAACACGTGCTAATAAGAGAAATATAAAAAGACTATTCATTTATATCAGTAAGTTATCTGAACAAGAAAAAGAGAAAAACATTTTTATGATAAAGTATTAAATTATGACAATATTTATTGAGAAGATTAAATGTAAACTCATTTGGTCAGAGACAAAATGCAACACATAGTATTTCGCTCTTCAATAAAAGCAAAAAACATCTATGGATACACAATTATAATAAAGTTCAAGTTCACCTAACGATTCAAATGTTTATTCAAAAAGTGACAGGAAAGTACAAAATAAAACAAGAAAAAAAGATAGAGTCAATCTAAGATTTAGAAGAAGATTGAGGACTAGTAATTTTTAATGGTTCTTGAACACGTTGAAACTGATTTAGTTTATCATTAATAATTGATGGTTCATCAAGAAAACGTAGACCATTACAGCGTCTACCAGTCAATGGATCTTTAATATGTCCTAAGTCATAGACAACTTCACTTATTTCATAACGTTCTAATGGATAACGACATTCATGTTTTGGCCTCTGTTTTAGAAGTACAATATCACCAACTTTTGTTTGAGTATTTTTATCAAATGTTTTATAATCAATACCTTTGAAATAATAAAAAAAAATGATGCTTTAAATATTATACTTTAAAATAATTTAGATACCATTACTCACGTTGATTGAAAAACATGTTAAAATTATCATCTAATTTCATTTGTAATACACGTACAATGGCTGTTGATGGATTGTTTTTTGATAGGACACGACCAATCAATAAACTAGATAACTGAGTAGCCATCTAAAAGAGAGAACACAAATACAAGAATGAGCAGTCTCTATTAGTATGTACAACAAATGTTCCAGTACTGGACGTAATCCTGTGATATACTAGCTCAATAAAAAATATAATTTTCAAAAGAGATCTTGAAAGTTTGCCACTTTTTGAAATTATTAATTCGTCTAAATATAATTTTTACAATCATTGAAACATATCACCATGAAGTAGGAAATGTTTTTAAGAAAAACTTATTGTAATCAAGAATTGAATTTAAGAAATGCCCCTAAATCTTGGAAAAAACACCATGAAATAGAATCCTGGAGAAAAGTCCTGATTCATTTATGACAGTTTAATTTAGCTTTCTTTTGAGAATTTTCTTATTTGTGGATGTTACTTTTTTGAAAAAAACTGTCGAATCTGAAACCAAAAATTTAAAACTCGTATCAATATAAGCTCTATCTCGAACATCTATACCCAAAAAAGAAAAAAATTCGAAGTTATTCAAAGTATAAAAATATTCATATTTATATACAAACAAGAATGACAAATAAAATAGTGCTCCAAGAACTCAGATACAAAAACTTTCATTAGGGATAGAGATTGACTCGAACTTTTAACATTTTTTCAACATTATCCATAATTTATTGAACTAGAGTTTGGCCACAAATGCATGTTTATTTGAATCGATATTTGACTACCAATTTTACTCATTCGTCGAATGGATAGTAGAGAAATTCACCGCTGTGAGGCGATTTTAAGCGCACACTCTAAAATAGGGCGCACAAGTTTTGACAATCTTTCGCTCTTACTTCGCGGCCAAAAACAGTAATGGAAGAAAACATGTACAATTGCAATACTGTAAAGACGTTATGTTTGAAAATATCAGAGAAATATATTTAACATAAGAGAATGACATAATGAAAGATCCAAAAGTGTGTCATGAAAAACTCGTTTTGAAAAGCATGACCTTAAATAACAACTTAAAAGTGGTAATTTAAGTATGTTTTGAAATATTTTTATCGCAGTGATCTTATGCAAATAACATCAGTCTATTCGAAAGTTCTCATATTGCTCGGATGACAATCTTGAATAGACTACCAATGAATATCCATTAGTTTGTCCAAAATATACAAAAATAACAAAAAACAAGGCTTGATGTTAATAGTTTTTTCTAAATATCATTTTTGAATACTTGTAAGGCCAAGGATTAAGTAAAAGTCAATAAAAACGGTTTAAATACTGACATTTTTATTGTTTCCGTACGCTAAAAATTCCAGCGTACGGAGACGACATATTCTAAATCTGTCGCAAAGTTGTACTCATAATCTTCCAGGACAACTTCTATTTGTATAAAGCAACTGATCCTTATGTCGATTGTAATTACCACTAACGTCGATATACGCGCTAAAAAGATTGTTTAACGTACTATGTTCATCTCAAATCGGGATCCGCTTTTTGAGCAATTCGTTTTGATCTGCCACTTTCTCTTCCTAAATCCAAAAGTGGATGTTCATCACTCGTTTTTGCTTCATTCACATGTGCATCTTTCATAATATGATCAAATGTTTGTCGACTTAAATCTATTTTTTGTAATTGTTGTTGTTTATCTTGATCATATGTTGTTAATTGAGTTTCAAGCGTCATAATTCCATCATCCAAATATTCATTATCATTTTCTTCTTCCTCTATTTTCTGTTTTGTCATATCATACAGATCAAATTCATACATAAAATGATTTCGTTCTGTTTTTTCTCGTAGTATTTGTCCCTTTGTCCAGTGTTTTTTATCACCTTTTAACGTCAAATATTTATCCATTTCATTTTGAAACTTTTCATATTTTAAACTATCAACAAACGCTTGATAATCATCGTGACGTAATAGATTGCTCGTAACACGCTTCAAAAATGTTTGTATTGAGGTGTCAAAAATATCGTGTAATGATATATTTAATTTTCGTTGACGAAAATATTGTTCTTCTCTTCTAACACGTGTCCATAGACCACAACGATAAACAAATAAATATCTTGATCGAATATGTTCAATTGGATAAGATAATGCGCCACATTCAACGATATCACGTGTCGATGCAAACAACATTATTCTTAAATAATTTATCTTATAATCCAATTTTGTCCATTGTTCAGTGAGTAATCGTGAATGAGTACGAATCAATTTATTAATTTCACGACTTGTAAAATAACAACTTAACACACCGATACGTTCACTTAGATAATCTAAATCACATTGTAATACATTTGGATCATGAGAGATTAAAATTGAACGAGCTGTTGCATCAAATTTTAATCTAATTAAACTTTCAATACACCCTTGAATTGTTACTTTGTTTAAAATAGACTTGTCGAACAAATTTATTTCTGTTAAAAATTTTATTTTGTTTTTTAAAAAACTAAAGTTTCTTTTAAAAAAAAAAACGCGACTACTCAATAAATATGAACTTATTCAAGTGATCTGCTTTAGATTTCTTTACTCTATATAAAAACATTTGTATTATAACACGACGTTAGTTGCCAGACACATTTGTTGTTTA